TACAAAGATGGTCAAAAGTAGAGATAGGATTTATGATTTTTATCTCCCCATCCATGGGTTTAGAAAGAGCTTTCGTTATGTTGTCTTGCACCATCGAGCTGCTGTTTGTTTCTTCTTGCGGTGGTTGAAGAATTCGTCGCGGCTCTTTTCCATTGTGGAGGACAGCAGAACTTGCCTCATCGCCAACCTGTTCTTCTTTGTTCACGGCGATGAACAACTAAAGAAACACTATTGAGAAGAGAGCTATAAAGCCGAATGCGCAATATGCAAATATGCATACAATGTATATTTACCTTTTTATGTAAATCGAAGGCATTTATGAAAAGTGTGTTAGCAAATCTGTAATATAAAAACCTTTGTTTTGACTGTTAGGTAATGTTCTTATGGTTTGCTCTGAATGGCTTGCTCTTCGAAAGCGATATGATGCGAACATTTCCCTGTCATATAACGGTACCGTAGGATGCGCTGGAATTAGATAAAGAATGTAAGGAAATACACTCATGGACATCACTTAAGGAAGTTGTACTTTTTACCATGTATATCGGGATTCAGACAATAACTCTGAATGATATTACAGTGACCTGAGATAAGCTGTGAAATTTGTACACCATACCATTTTAAAAAATGCGCTTATACTAATAAAAGTTGGTCTGGAAAAAAAATGAAATGGAAGTGAAGAAAATAGGATTTCACAAAGGGACAAGTAGCAAAGTAGCAAGATCTAACCAGAATGACATTATATGTAACATTTCGATTTAAAAAGTATTGATCCCATAATCAAACTTGAGTTTTAAAAGATAAAACTTCGCCTGACCATCACATTTGTTTTTTCTTTAAAGAAAGGATTTTTTGTCAGATATAAGATGTTGCTTTCGAATCACAGATTACCTATTTGGAATCATTTGATATTAACGATGCAAAGAAATGTCATTTCTAAGCTTCACCAATATATTCTAGCTGAATCGAACTGTAGCGTGGTACGAAGCAAAACTACCAGACAATCCAGGTAACTACCAGAACACGTTAACCAAGAAATCTCTACAAAACATTCTGTTGGGAGCTTGAATCCTAAAATTGTTGGCTTCCGTAGGCGTTTCTTATTGGCAAAAAGAAAGAGAGGATTCCATAAAATAATTTGAAAGCATTTATTAATAAAAAAAGTACTAATAACAACAACAAAAGGCGGCACACACACATCTATCAGAGAGCATCGTCGTCATCCGGATATTCCTTCTACTGGGGAGCTCGGCTTCTATATTCTGTGTATTATATTCTGTTTATCTGCGGCTCTCTGGTCGGGGTGGTGCCTACGCAATGTTAGTTCGGACTTCCGTCTAGCTCCTTTTGTCTGGTCTTAGATGTTGACGATATCTGGCGGACTGTACACCAGACCTGACTACTGAGATTTCTCTAGGTGTGATGTAGCAACAAGCTGTTTGAATAAAATAAAGACCAAACAGCCTCACTGGTTTTAGATAACTGACTTAACTTTATTATCACTTTCACTCCTTTTATATACATATACACCTATCCCCCGATTTACACGGTAGATACGTTCATGAGAAAAACGTGTAAATCGAGGTGTATATTAATTAAACTGTCAAATCTGAATAGGTGTTCGCCACCTCATGAATCAGAGCCTCCCAATATTCTTTTCAACATAGGTAGTATAGAGTAGAATATCGCATTTTAGTATAGTGCGATAAAAACAACAACAAAAAAAACTTATTTGGAAAACCGTGTAAAATCGAAAACGTGTAAAACAAGTACCGTGTAAATCGGTAATATAAAAATTTACATAAATTAAAAGAAAAAATAAAAATTTACATAATTATAGTACACAATGCAACCTGGCAAGTTATTTTACATAGCTAGGCGTAAATACACTCAGTAATCGTTATAAACCACTAACGTTAGATCCAAAACACCTACCTCTAGAACAGACCAGCTACATCTTTCAATTAAAAATACGTACTGCATGAACGTTAAAAAAGAAGGGGAAAAAAAAGAGCCAGCTAATTATAGGTACCATCTTGTTTGGGGACAACATTCCAGTATGGTGCACACAAAAAGTGTTCACTACCCGCTGATACTAATCTATCACCCTTTCCTTCTATATTTCAGAACCTGGAGTTTTTGTGACTTAATTGAGGAGTTATTGGAGTTAAGAATATTTAGAAGGCCCGCCCTGCTTCACTCCTTTTTTGGAACTTTTTTTTACTTACTTTCTCCGTTTACATGTAATTTCGTTTTTTTAACATCAAATTGCGTCGACTTTTTTGTTGTTGTTGTACGCAATTTTTAAAGATCAAGTTTATTCTAATTTATTTTTCGTAGTGGGGGAAAAGAATTTTAAAAATTTTGGGAAGGATCAAAATCTAGACTGTCAAGTGGTGTTCCATGGATAGCCCAACTAACGACAACAGTTCTTTTTATCCATGAACTACATGTAAAAACTGTGTTTGTAATCTTCATACTTTATATTTAGAAAGTAGATTTTGTCCTTGTAAATTGCCTGGGTTTGTTAGGTTTTGTTAAATGTGGAAAGAACGGGACAGAGAGTGAGTTGGGCATTCAAATATATATTGGGACAATTCACAGTTTTTTTTTTTTTACGCGATACACAATATGAACATGGGACAATATGACACAAGTCATGGAGTGTGGAGAGAAGTCTTTTAAAACTTTTGAGAATTTCAAAATCTAGACTGTCAAGTAGGTGTTCCCTGGATAGCCCAACTAACGACATCAGCTCTTTTTACCTATCAAGGAGACTTACAGACTACATTTTGACATTACAACTGTGTTTGTAATTTCCATACTTTATATGTAGAAATTAGATTTTGTCCTTGTACATTGCCTGGGTTTGTTAGGCTTTGTTAATGAGGAAAGAACAGAAGAGTGAGTTGGGCATTCAAACATATATTGGGACAATTCACAGCTTTTTGTTTACACGATACACAAGACGTCACTGTGTGTATCTTTAGAATCGATGTAAAAATTATCAGTTTCCCCCCTGTTTATCACCGTAACCACCAGTAACAAAAAATTTAAAAAAAATTCCAAACTTCTCTCCGAGCCGTTAACCAATGAGAACTTTGTCCACTTATACTACACCATTTCTACAGTTGGTCAGAAAAACTGAGAATATATCGTTAGAAAAAGTAAAAGTGAGATTACTAGAAGACATACAGTAGTTGTTATATCTCTCCGCCAAGACTATATATAACAACAGGATTATCAGTTGTAATTTATAATACAACTAGCCGAATGACCCGGGCAACGCCCGTGTTTTACCCGATTGAATGTTTTGATTCAAATACTATTTGTTACAATTATAAATTGGCGCCTTAATTAATTGCATATGTTAGTTAATAACTATAGCCTATGTGCTTTATCTGTCTATGTAATGTTGGCTTCCGTAGGCGTCTCTTAGTTACATAAATAGCGAGTGGGGGGGGCAAAGGTGGCGTGACCGTAGCCAACCAATAGGAGGGCGCCATTCCAAAAAAAAAAGCAAACGGTGACAGAGAGAGATGACTGATTAGGAGATGAGGAAAGACGCTCGTAACTGTATATAGAATATAATGCGGTTTATGATTGTAGAACGACAATTGAAAATTATCCAGCATGTGTTTCTTTTGAACGAAAAATCGAAATTTATTTTAAGGAGAAATAACGATTATTTCTAACCTTAAGGATGAAGTATGAAAGGATGAATTGTGAAGAGTAATGATAAACAGAAAAATAAAAGTGTCCAGGGATGGGGTGCAATATATGAAGGGCTGATAAAAATTATGGTAATATAAATGTTATATGATATGTGTGTCATAATATACATATTGTATACCGTAAATGAAAACATTAAGATGCGAATGTTTCTTTCAAACATTAATCAAACTTCTACTGTCCTTACTGCGATGAAAAAATATATATTGGAAGGGCTTGGCTCATCAGGCTTCATTTACGGTATATAACTGGCGTGTTATTGCCTTATATACATATTGTAGGCTGCTATAGCCTCGCTGTCCCTCCAGGATTGCCTGGTACAACACGGGGCCGGACATCTTCAGCAAGTACATTGGGGTCAAGCACGAACAAAGGTGTTAAAAGTGGGCGAGAGAGAAAGGGGTTTTACAAATTAAGAAAGGAGTTATCGTGGAGATGGCCAACACAAAGAAGGTGAGAAAGTGATGGGAGATAAGTCGGTAGAAATTACGTAGCTGAGATAAGCTCGAGTAATTGTCTAGGGAGCTTTCTTTGAAACACAACTTGACGAAACAAAAGGTGCAACAATCCATCAAACACATGTCAACAATGTTGTCCTAGTTAGTAATGATATACTATCATACTATCTTTACTAGAGAATACAATATACTAGAATATAGAGTTACTAGCCTTGTCCCAGTTAGCAGTGGACTACTATAGCTTCACTAGGATACTAGAACACCTGTTTAGATATCCTAGCTACTGGATGGTACTTAGCCGTTGTACACTTAGCCACTTATAATCGCGACCAGGAAGGCCACTGAGTGTTGTTATTTCATCCCTTGTCTAGGTGAATTTTGCTAACGTGTGCAGAAGACTAGATAACATGGGGGATTCTGTGCAGATTGAAATGAGATCAAGGCAGTAATATATTAGTACGCTGTTACCGCTGCTGTTATATCAAGGATGGTCAAATGAGCACAAAAGATCGGTAAGGATCTCTGTTCGCGACTCCTCTTTGTTACCTTCGTGGATTATAGAATACAAGAAAGTAACAGACAGGGAAGTTCATCCAACCACGTCCTCAACAAGGGAGGTCCATCTGTCCCATGGCCACAGGTGGTGGACAGTTTTAGCCCCTATAGGACGTCGTCATAACAATATGTCAACTTCTCTACTCTTGATCAATGTCCTGTTTCTCCAGTAGTCTCTCTATCTTGAGCTATTTCCTTTATTTCTTCGCCGTTTCCCATCCAGTGTCCATGGAACTTAATTCTTTTGCTTCCTCTTAACCCAAAATAGCTAATTTAGAAGAGCGTTAGACTGAAGATCTAAAGGTCTCTGGTTTAATCCCGGGTTTCGGCATCTTTTTTAAACCCCAAATAGCTCAGTTGAGAGAGCGTTAAACTGAAGATCTAAAGGTTCCTAGTTTGATCTCGGGTTTCGGCATCTTTCTTAACCCCAAAGAGCTCAGTTGGGAGAGCGTTAAACTGGAGGTCTAAAGGTCCCTGGTTTGATCCCGGGTTTCGGCATCTTTTTTAAAACCCCAAATAACTCAGTTGGGAGAGCGTTAAACTGAAGATCTAAAGGTCCCCGGTTTGATCCCGGGTTTCGGCATATTTTTTAAACCCCAAATAGCTCAGTTGAGAGAGCATTAGACTGAAGATCTAAAAAGGTCCCTGGTTCGATCCCGGGTTCTACTTCCCCTTATCCAAGATCAATTCACCATACCCTCCTCCAGAGATGTCTTCATCCATCCACCTATTCCCTTACTAAGGAAGTAGTGGCAGAGTTAGACAGCTCGGAGGGAAAATCTCCGCTGGGACGACGTATCAGTTTGATAAGGTACTTATCACTAGCAGCAGCAGCAACACGTCTCCTTATCCCGGACGTTCGACACTTACCCAGGCCGATAGCCTGTCTTTTTGGGGTCAAGGGATGGAAAACAACTCCAATGTTTCTAAAAGTCTATGAAATGGAAGGGGAGGTTAACGTACTCTGCCGATATATAAACTCGCGACCAGCTTAAAATAAACCTTTTAAATGGCTGTTTTTGTTGGGAGGTGATTCCAACGCCATCTATTAACAAAAATAGGAACTAGAATACGACAGTTGTTTTTAGCCTTTTTTACAAAGGGGTATATACAACAACAAAAAGCCTTTATTAACCCTTTAGGTGCCGGCCGTTTTCAAGGTCATTCCTGATCATTGTTAGCCTTTAAAAGACATCAGACTATTTTTTTTTTTTTAATTAGCGCTTTTATGATTCATATAAACCTATGAAACACAATGCAACAGAATATGCGCTTTAAAATACAGTTAATTAAATTTCATTAGATTTTTTTAAGGAGAAAAGAAGTATCACGTCACATCAAACCGATACATCGGCTTGCCTGGTGCTTAAAGGGTTAAGGACACTCGTCCCATACAGGATATACTCCCAGATATGTAAACAGAAGTAAACATAACAGTTATGTACAGAAATTTGAGATTAATATCGACCTTCTTTCAAGTTAGATCCATCATCTGTGTTACGTCTATTGTCTTTGTTGTTTTCCAGAATTTGTGAAAAGCTAATACATTGGGTTTGCTTTTTACTACTTTTGCCATTATAACAAACATATGGCGACTTGTTTTTTATAACCAATCATACAAAGGGGATGTATATAAAGAACAAATGCATATAAGGTTGTCCTAAAAGTTCGTAAACACCTGAAACAAATTCCAAATATATATCTGTGATGATTTAAGACCATGGAATTGTTGTAAATAGTCTAGATAGCTACTACCACATGTTCCACCCCTTGACTGTATATAACTTCTTATGTACTGCACATAGAAAGCCTCAACTAACATCAATCTGTACCGCGTAAGAATCTAATAAAGTATATCAACTGTACAGATAGAAGGAATGGAGACTAACAGGAGAAAATTAAGGTTAAAACTAATCAGGCTTAGGACAGAAGTCGAAGCAAGGCCTAGCAAAAGAGGCTTAAAACCAGCCCAACTATAAATAATTTACAAGTCAATACTTCCTGACAGGACCGGGCGTATCTGATAACGCAGAAGTTATAAAAGTCGAGTAACGCCCCGTACTTCCTGGCCAAGACCGGACGTATCTTCCATCAAAGAAAGCCGCAAGGCCAATTAGAGAAGACCATACCTAAGTAGGTCAACCAATAGCCAACGGCCATGTGACATAGTCCTACCAATTAGGAAAGAATCACCTAAATAGGTCAGCCAATTAGAAAGAAGCAAGGTCGTGGTGTTAAATCGAGGACCTAGAATTGTTAGTCTTCGCTTGGATTCCAACGGTAACACTTGCTCTTAAGATCTCTCTCTCCCTTCATCCCATTCCTTCTTGACATCAGACGCTTCTTAGTGGAATCTCTGTTTGTTTATTTCACCTTTGGCCCAGCTGTGTCGCCTTCCACCACGACTGCACGGTAGAGTTGACATCGAGGTTCGTCTAGCATCAGGTAACACTGGTCCCAGAGGTCCCAAGATATCACATATCCATATAATATATATACTGTATATATATTCAAAAAAGATGCATATATTGGATTTATAATTATTTTATTGTTCCATTATTTCGAGGGGCAACTCGCCTCTCTTTATCGAGGATGTTTGTGTTTTTTTACTAAAACATGCGAGCACGCGTATATATATTATATAATCTAAAATGCAAATATTTTATTTAAAAAAAAAACATGTATTTTACTTTTAACATTGACTTATTTTATTTTTGACCATAGATTTAGAATATTTTGAATATTTGTTGTAAATATGTATAGTTGAGCTACCTATTTTTTTAATTCACGAATATAGGATTCGTTTTATAAATTCTATATTGCTGTGAAAAATAATTTTATGTGTAATTTGCTTCAAGTAATTCAAAATCAAAACTACCTGATGGGTAAATAATTATCTTTCCTATTTCTATGACTGCATCTTCAATTCTCTATCCTTTTCAACAACAAAACAAAATATTTATAACATATATATATCCAAATTCAATTTTTACAAGTGTTTACAAACTTTTGGGACAACCTTGTATTTTAATTAACCCTTTAGGTGCCGGCCGTTTTCAAGGTCATTCCTGATCATTGTTAGCCTTCAAAAGACTCACAAACTATACTTTAAATTATTATTTTTTAAAAATGAACGCTTTTATGATTCATACAAACATGAAACACAATGCAAAAGAATATGCATTTTAAAATACAATTAATTAATTTTCATTGATTTTTTGGGAAGAAAAGTAGCATCAAGTCACATCAAACCGATACATCGGATTGTCTGGTGCTTAAAGGGTTAAGGTTGTAAATGAGTTATACTTAGATAAATGTGGAACAAAAACCGCTATTAGATAGAAATTGAAAGCTGTCACCCCCTTGTCAACCTATTTATCCATTTACAAAGATGACAGTTTACCATCATAAGAGCAATGATGTTCACCCAGTCAGATTGGTCGGCTAGGTCTAAAAAGAGACCGACGGCGGGCGGCACACTTACAACTAAAAATAAAGATGAATCACTCACCGCCGATCGAGAAGTATTGGTGACATCAGGTGACCGGCATTTCTTTCAATTGTAGACTTGCCGCCATTTGTGTATAAATTACTTCCTTAATTCTATAAGGTCATTTGATATATATATATAGATGGAAAATTTGCCGGGAGAAAATTGATCCATAGAAGCATAGGGCGCATCTCCCGTCAAAATAAACGTCAAAATCTGACGCCATCTATTGACCGTCGCCGCAACTAGCGGTCGGTAACAAAGCCACAACACCAGCTTTGGCAAACTGAGAAGCGTCCACCTATTCAGTCCCTCGTCAGTCTAGGGCGGACTTTATTCCATGAGATCCACACGGGATCTAATGGAATCTTCACAATCTACCAAAGAGGTGTTTTGCTGGCAAGGTGCAAGGCATATATATATATATATATACTAGACGGGTGACCCGGGCTTCGCCCCGGGATTGACCCGTGTGCATATCTACCAGAGTGATATATATTTAGATAAGATTTTTTTAAATAATTGTTTGTTATTAGCATTATCTATTTGTTTGCATCAGCATAATTTAATCTAATCTTTAATAGAGGGCGCTGTTCGTGAGCTAAGTAGAATAATTTGAATATATAGTTTTAATAATTGATTTATATATATATATTTAAAATAGCCTATCGTCTTCCCCGTATTTTTTTATTTATGTATGGAAATTTTGGTTTGAATTAGTGAACTACTGCGAATTTGTATACCGGACATACAAACAAACAAACATACAAACATTCATTTTTATATATATAGATGTTGTAATATATTCATATATTCACTTATATATCATATGTAATATAATAACCAAAACTGTAAAAACAAAATTCAATTGGCCAGTTCCGCCATCATGTACTCTCTCGCCATCTCTATGGTAACATCTAACATGCCTTGTCCTTGTGTGTAATCCCAATCACGCCTGAACCCACTCTAAACATTGTGGTCACCACGACTGCAACTAACATGCCACACTACACTCATCTTACAGGGTAAAACCACGACATATATATTGTAACAAAGTATTTATTATTTTATTAACAGAGTATCATTTTTGATGTTTATACTTTTAATACTCTGTAAACTTCCCTCATTGCTTTTCTTTTGTTTATACTTCATAGTTTGTTCTTGCCTGAAATAAATTGCTGTCTCATCTCGCAGTTGGTCTTCCCTGTTTTTCCCCGTTTGTTTTTTACATATATATATATATATAGTTGTATGTAAGAATAACTTATATAATTATAGTTTTATTCTAGCATGACATTTTTCACATTCCTATAAGAAACACACTGTTCAACAAGCTCTTCTTAAAAAAAAAACATGTTGAAAATGTACACCAAAAGTTTATAATTCAAGTAGATAACGTTAAAACACTCTAGGTGATAAGATTTCGAGCTACAGACTCTTCCTCAGAACAAGAACATTATAGAGAGCCCACATTCTTCAGCGTTAGTCTATAGGTAAGATGACAAGAAGAAATGATAGTGGACATTGCTGCTGCTGTGATAGAGATGTATGGAGACATCTGAGGCTCTTCATTGGACACGACAACAATACAGTATACACATCCAAGATAGTGGACATTGCTGCTGCTGTGATAGAGATGTATGGAGACATCTGAGGCTCTTCATTGAACACAACAGCAACAGAAAATTGACATGGACCCAGAGCAGCAGCTTTACACACCCAAGATAGTGGACATTGCTGCTGATGTGATAGAGATGTATGGAGACATCTGAGGCTCTTCATTGGACACGACAACAACAACAGAAAATTGACATAGAACCAGAGCAGCAGCTTTACACACCCAAGATAGAGGACATTGCTCCTGCTATGATAGAGATGCATGGAGACATCTGAGGCTATAATTGGACACGACAAAAACAACAGAAAATTGACACAGAACCAGAGCAGCAGTTTTACACACCCAAGATAGTGGACAATGCTGCTGCTGTGATAGAGATGCATGGAGACA